AACCACCATCTGTAAATGACTGTCCACCAGGAATTGTCTCACGGCTGCTCATCAGATTGAAATTGAGTGTTCGAATTTTTGGGGTGGGCATGAATCCTGCCTAAGTGGGCATAGGAAAGTTGCGCATTTCAGGAAAGCATTCTTTTCTCGAAGACATGTTTGGATGGACCTAGAGTGTTGATGCCCTGCAAATGGCTCACTTCAGGCGTGTGCTGGCGCGGAGATTACCGTGGTTTTATCGACGGCGTTGTTCCTCGTATATGTATCTGCCTCGTGGAAGTGTTTGATGACAGTGTTTGGATGCCCAGCCTCAGACTGGGGGACGGCGTGGCCCACGCAACCGCATGTCGTTGTTGAAGTATCATCAGCTTCCCTCAGTTGCATGTCAAACCTGCCTCGAGGTTGCCTCCTTGTCCGGGTTTCCATTTTCCTCCCATGTCTGCACAACAATACAATCTGACGAACGGGTAACGAACCGCACAAACACCTCGCTTTGAGTTCGTGGCTTTTCTCATGGCCCTGGCTCTGTGTTTTATTGTATTGCCGCCTCGCGTTTCTTGCATGCTTTCTCCCTCCCGGGGATGCATAAATATAAGGGACCTTCCTGACCCTCCAAACTTCCCCTCAGATCACATTTGTCTTCGTCGTCGTTCGAAGACCCCTAGCTATTCCCATCGACTCTGTCGTTTTCCATCGTTCCACTCTCTGTCTATCGACCATGTCGGACGTTCTGGTAGGCATATCTCCCCAATGAACGCCGTGTCGAAGCCGTTGGCCTATCTCTTTCAATACAGACCGGTGACATCGTTTCTGTCAACCTCCCCACCGTCGGCCACCGTGAGGGCCGGGTCATCGGCCAGCATATTGATTATGCAGTATGTTTACTTACTTCCGCCACTCTGTGATTGTCTTCAATCTCTCATTTCTTTAGGGTCGCCTGATCGTTCAGGTTCAATTTGAGCCTGGCAATTACTACAATGCTTGGTGGGACGCTTTCACCACTGCATCTCATCTTTCATCTCCTGATATACTCACGGTTAGGGCCCCAACTGTTACCCGCGTTCGAAGGACGACTTACATCAATGGTCCGCGGGTTACTCAGCAAGTGATCGAGAGAACCTATTACTAGACGCTGAAATCGTCCAACCCACTCTTATCATCCAATCCTCGATAGCTGTCGCCCCTCGAAACTGCTATCACAATTACCGATTCTAATATATTCCACGTTGATCCCTCTCCCTCAGCAGCTGATCCATGAACCAAGCGATTCTGAGGTACCCAGGACGTTCCACCTCTGTATAGCACATCAAGGTTGCATCGGGACCTAATATCATGCAAACGGAAACTGCTCAACCTATATTTCTTATGCACCGTAAGGTCTACGTTGGCTCTTACGGAGCGTCAGCCGGTACGATGCTCAGCAAAATACATTACTTTCACACTCCCTTGCCAACAACCACAAACAGAGATCGATTTGCCTGAACTTCTCCAACAACTGTAGATACTTGTTTCAATATTCCATGCACATGAGTTAAGTATGTGGTCACAATCCTCACGGTTTGCCCTACGAATTCCTGGGAGTGAGATCGAAGCGCCTGAATTTCCACACTAGCCGATTACGTAGCTATTGAAAGCGGTCGGGCCCGGGCCTCGATCGTACGAAGGGCTACCTAGCTCAGCCTCGGGAATGAGACCGGATGGCACAAGGAGCTTCATGTGACAGTGAGATCGATCGGATGATACAGTGAGATAGAATCGCGCGTATCAACGCTCACGGTTTCCAACGAACATCATGAGTCATGCAATGCCACCCCAGGCCTGAGCTAGAACTGATTGAGGCATGGAGGTAAGATGCTGGACGAAATATTAGCTTGCCAAAGCATATCGTAACAGGGCATGATATATGTAGGCCGAGGGCTGCGCAGCGTATCATTCTGGCAATACTAGAGTTACAGTATTCCAGCCCCGGGGATGAGAAACCCCAGGGACGTCGAAGATCACTGCCAACAATCAAGAGTTCAGTGGCGTCAGAGACTGGGTTCGAACATTAACACAACTTTTCGGACGTATATTAGGCGCATGCTCAATCCCGCCTGTTCGTGTCGAATTCCGCCAAAATCATACGCTCGCAGCCAAGGCAAAAGTAGGGGCACGCACTACAGCAACCTGACTCACTCCTGGAATAAGCCAAATATACTTTCGTACATACATCAGTGCGCACATGTAGCGCGGGACCAACTTGCGTTCCAGTTCATAGGAAGAATGTCTGATTGGCCCCCTTGTTCACGCCAAAAAAAAGAGTTGGATGAAAAGGGAGGTACAAAATGTCAAGCAGTCAGTATACCTGGAATCGCCAGCCAGGTACCTCCAGGCGGTAGGGGAGACATTATACAAGAAGCGCCAACATTCATTGGAGACATATTACATATATCAAGAGTGGCTGGGTAGATACCGAGTACTGTGGTAGGAGAATCTCCCTCCCATTAATCGCACTTTTCAGAAATCCTGTATAGGCCGACGAAGTACTTGTAACCAGAGGCAGGATCTAATAAACGAGAAATGTAATTACAGAGTCTCTAAATGAAATGGGAACTCACCAAACGTCTGCGCTTCAAAGGCAATATCATGTTGGCCACGGCTGAGATACCATTTGCCATTGCTGTAGCCGTCCTGTGGAATTGGCTCAGCATCCGGTGTGACTTTTTCGACATCGGTTGGTAGTAAAACATACCGCAATGCAACTATCCCCATTTGGCTTACGACTACCTTCACACCAGACCTTTTTGTTCGTTTCTGGATCATAATCTGAGGTGTGATAGGAGTTGCTATCGATAGAAATCGTCCATTTCTCGATGCGCCATTCAGCATCCGTGAATTGGAGGTACGCATCGTAAGGCACGTTCACAGTGATAGTGTTTTTTACAGAACCATTTGTACCAAGCTTCCTGTTAACGGATACCTTTGTCCAATCAGTATACACGAGATTCTGGCAGGGGGGATTCGGGGGTGGCTTAGGCTGTTCAGAAGGTGGGCAGTAGGATGTAGTGGAAATCAAAGTCGTAGTCAACGTAGATGTGGTCGTGTCGGTGACCGTCTGTGTCGCGGTGGAAAGAGCGGTAAACGTGGTAGTAACTATGGAAGTAATGAAGGACAGCGACGTGGAAACTGAAGTCGTGGTACTGGTCTCTGTGGCCGTAGAAGTCTCCTTTATGGTGCGTGTGATAGGTGGGAATGTTGTGGTCTCCGTGGTGGTAGAAGTGCTTATGCTTGTGACAGTCGACGTGACGGGAGGAGGAATGCTAGTGGTGGTGGATGTCTCCGTGATCGTGATCGGCACATACTGCGTGATAGGCGGAAGCGTGGTCGTGGCGGTGCTCACGCTGACAGTCGTGCTCGTCTCCGTCGTTGTGCTTGTATCTGTCTTTGTCGTCGTGCTGGTAGAGATTGCGGTGGTGGTCAATGTGATGGAAGTCGTCGTCGTAGATGTCTCCGTGCTAGTAACAGGAGGCAAGATCGAGAAGGATGTGCTAGTGACCGTCACAGTGCTCCTGAGTGTGATAGGCTGCGGAACAGACGTTATGGTAGTAGTCGTAGTGAGACTGGAGTAGAGGGTTGTCGTGGTTGGAGGAAGAGTGATCGTCAGCGGAGAGGGACAAGCAAACGGATTGGATGTCGTCGAAGTTAAATATGGCGTTTGAATGCTGGAAGGTATGACGATAAGGACTCAGGATTTGAGCATAGAGAAATGCTGGTGGCACTTACACGATACCATCACGGGTAACAGTGGACGTTGCGATGTAATAAGAAGTTTCAGCCCGTACAGGAGCGGCAGGAGTTGGACGAGGGACGACAAGGGTAGTTTGCCCAGCAACTTGATAGGTAACTGCGATTAAAAAACCGGCAGATAGCAGAATAAGAGTCGAGTGTTCATAAGAGATATTCCGATTAATCTCACCTGTAGCAATCCCATGACTATTCTGATGCACTCCCACCACTGAGGCACCAGCGACACCAGTAGGATCTGGAAATGGCTAATAATCGGTTAAAACGGAAGCCAAGAGCGTCAAATATTCCAAAGCAGGTGGTTAGTCCCCGCAACAACTTTCTTTACCTAAATCAGTAGGGTTTTGTATCTACTTACCGGGCCGGTTGAAACAAGGTCTATGAACCGGGTGGTCCCAATGACGACTTGAATGTCAGGCTGGCAGCCCAGCTCATCGCATAGACCATTGGTCGTGGCACGGGCTAAGCCTACACATAAAATAACGCGAAGTACTATGGAAAGCATCAGGACTCGTTCTAAGCGAGAACAAGGCGATCAAACTTTATAGGTGTTGTCCCCCTGAGAACGGCAGGGACCGCCAAAAAGTAGCAGGGTTCAAGTCTGACGCCGTGATTGCTTTCGCTGCCGAAACGAGAATTGACACCCGGAGTCGCCTCCCCGAGAATCTTGGCCATAATGCGGAGAAGTGTCGGTACATTGGATTTGAGGGAGATTACGGGTGGTCGCTGTTGTCAAGTCCCTGTAAAGCCACAGTGCATAATATTCGTACTTTTTGTTTGTTTTGTGAGTGCCAGGATAAAGGGGCCGAGAAACTCCGCCTTGGGTGGGGGGGTGCAAAGGCAGGGCCGAACGTGCGTGCGTCTTAGTAATGAAGGACAGTGATATACTAAACTGAGACAGATAATGAGGACAATGTTCGGAGATGTCACCGAGGCATTTGACAGGCTATCGGGGACCGGCAACGTACCGAATGCTTGGTAATCAAACACCATGGGCTATGAATTACCTTGCTTTACCTCGCTTGCAAGGTCACTTTCCGGGTCCACAATTCGTGGGAATCTTCACTTTCCCATGCCACCGTTCTGTTGGCTACTGCTGTTGTCTCGTGATCACCTCACATGTTTTTAAATGCGGAGTTGTCCGATTCCTCTGTGAGCCCAGCCTTGGCCAGCATGCTAGAGACAACAATCAATCATGATGACCCAGTCTTGCTACTGGGATCCGCAACGGATGTAGGATGTGGACTTGCTGTTTTCGATGACACTCCCAACTGACTGTTCTCATTTGTAAAAGTTGAATCATATCATGGCCAGAGCTCCGTGATAATGCTACATAAGCATTGAATGGTGTTAGTGGTGGAGGTGCTAGATCAATGATGGTCTGTCAGATTGTTTGGCCTTGGGTGTCATATCCATACATACCCGATCCCGATCTGACTCCCGGACCCCCCATCATCACCACCTCTGGAGTCCTACCCTACCACTGTCCGTTCTGATATTCACCTTCGGTCCTGACACCACACCTGACACCACACCTCCTCTCACCCCTCATGACACCTCCACTCTTCCGTCCTCCTCCTGCCCTATCTCCGTCCGTTCCGATATTCACCTCGGACCGAACATCACTCCTCTCACTCCTCCTCTTCCTCCTCATGACACCTCCACTCTTCCATCACCCTCCTGCCCTTCTCCCGTCCGCTCTGATACTCACCTTCGGACCTGACACCTTTCCTCTCCTCTGTCGAAATTGTATCCGGTGCGACTACTGGACTTATCCGGAGCTCCAATTCAAATGGCTTCAAATCCAGGTCACGTGGCAAGGACATAAAATCATGGACAAGCCTGGTATCGAACCCAGGACCTCTAGCGTGCATCCATACACTACTCGCCCTTGAGCCATGCCGGTATAGGCTGTTAAACTCTATACTATTGGGAACATATTATATTCTCCAACATCCTCCACTCCTCTCTCCACTCCTCTCTCCTCTCTCTTCCCTCTGACCCTCTTCCACCGACCCTATTAGACGAAATGTTGGACTAGCGAGTTTATTGCTCAGTCCCGTTGTACGTGAACTAGAATAGATTAGAAAGTAATCACCTAGCGAGTTTATCGCTGGTGGACTAATGTTTAATACATGATTTAAAACATGATATAACCAACATACCTCAGTCCCGTTGTATGTGAACTGAGGGAAAGTTGGGTTGTCCAAAAATTGGGGTTTTATAGTCAGGCGCTATGAATGCGCACTGACTTTGGCACGGACGCCACCAAGAAAGGCAATAGGTGTAAATCTAAACGCCACACGACTCAACATCACCAAACATGAGTTGGTCATAGCGAACACCATAAAACCAAGAATTCTAACACGCCCACTCGCTAGATCTACTCATGTAATCCCATCGCAGTACGGAACTTCGAATGTTTTTCATGTGCCAGAGCCTTTGTAAGGACGTCGGCTACTTGGTCGTTTGTCGAAATGTAATCGAGTGTGATGTCGAACGCCAATGTGTTTCGTATGAGCGTGGAAGGTGGGATTTGATGCCAGCGCGATAGCACCTTGATTATCGACGAGTAAGGAAGTGGAATGGGCGAGAGGGAAGTTGATGTCATGAAGGAATTGCTGAATCCACAATGCCTCTTTAGTAGCGTGTGTCATAGCCATGTACTCGCCTTCAGTGCTAGACAATGCAATTGACGTTTGCTTCTTCGAACTCCAGCTAATAGCCGCGCCAGCCATTATAAAAACGAAACCAGATATGGAATGAAAGTCTCTTGGGTCTCCAGCCCAATCCGAATCGGAATATCCAGTGTGATCGTCGCATTTTGACTTTCTGTCGTAGACCAATTTGTAGTCTTTGGTGGCGTTGAGATAGCGAAGAAGTCGATTGATGGCGATCCAATGTTCTTCCCCTGGATTCGATGAGTACTGACTCAGTGTGGTGACGGCGTAGCCAATGTCCGGTCGGGTACCGAGCATTGTGTACATAACGGAGCCTATTCGTGATTGGTACTCGCGGGTGTTGATCTCAGGATCGGGTTGATCGTGGCGAAGGAGTTTAAGGTTAGGGGTCATGGGAGTTGAAATACTGTGAGAATTAGTAAAGCCAAATCTTTCGACAACGTCAGACACGTATCGTGATTGGGAAACGGTAATTAAGCGCCGTGCGCGATCGCGAGTAATCTCCAGTCCAAGAAACCAATGAATTTCGCCCAAGTCTTTCATTTTGAATGCAGAACGCAGCTGCCTCTTCTTCTTTCGAAGTAAGTTGAGATCATTTGAAGCGATGAGGAGGTCGTCGACATATAAAGCGACGATGCAGAATTTGGCGTGGGAGGAATAAATGAATACCCCGTGGTCGGATTCACAGCACGTGAAGTAGAGTTTGTTGAGTTCGGCTTTCGCCTTCTTGTGCCAGGCGCGTGACGCCTGTTTGAGTCCGTAGAGGCTCTTCTGCAACTTCCACACAATATCGGGCCACCCATAATCATCGCATCCAGGAGGGGGATCCATGTAGATTTCGTGCTCTAGATCGCCGTTGAGGAAGGTGGTTTTTACATCCATTTGATGAAGTTCGAGATTGAGATGGGCGGATAGGGCTAGGAGTATTCGAATGGAGGTCCATTTGACCACAGGTGCGAAGGTCTCGTCGTAATCGATCGCGTGGACCTGACTAAAACCTTTCACAACCATGCACGCTTTATAGCACTCCACTTCTCCGTTCGCATTTCTCTTTATCGCAAATACCCATCTCGAACCAACCACATTCTGAGCATCGACGTCTCGCTTTCGCACTGAGACGTAAGTTCCCGTCTCCCTTAATGCTGATAATTCTTCCACACAAGCCTCGAGCCATGAACCCGCGTCGTGACGGTCCATCGCCTGTTTGTAAGTCCGTGGTATTTCCACATTCGCGTTTAACGCCCAACTAATGCCCACTGTTTCAGGGGCTCTCGTCGAACGATTGTAAGAAGAAACGGAGTATCGAGCGTCGTCGTCAGGGATGGGGGCACGATGGATACGTCTTGAGCGTTGTGGTTCAGGGGGCCTGGATTCAAGTCCAACAGGTATGTCTCCTCCATCTACATTCTCCTCGTCATCGCTCTCATTTCCCTTTTCCTCTCGATCTTCGTGATCACCATCACCATCACCGTCTCCATCTTCATCTCCCATTTCCCTAACCTCTCCTTCATCACTCTTCACGGGGACAACAACGTGCGTCGGGGAATCTTGTGATTCAACCTCGATCGTCACCCGCTCCGATTCTCCATCCATTCCCTCAAAAAAGTGAACGTCCCTGGACTCGTGGAGTTTACGAGTCTTGGGATCGAAGACAACAAAGGCCTTCTTGCCTTGCACCATGCCAAGATGGATTCCAAGAATTGAGCGATTATCGAGTTTTCAATGAAGATCGCGGTGGATGTGGAGGGTGGCTTTACAGCCAAAGGTACATATCATGGTAACACTTGGTTTATTGCCAGTGTATCGTTCGTAGGGGGAGAGATCGTGAGGAAGTGCGGAGTGGGGGGATACGTTTTTGATTAGTGCCACATGTCGCAGCGCGTACGGCCAAGCAGTGCGGTCGACTTTCGACTCGAGCATAGCGATAGTCATGGTGACTAGAGTCCGGTTGACTCTTTCAGCTACGCCGTTCTCCTGCGGTGTTTGCGGATTTGTACGCTCATGAACGATTCCGATTCCTTTTAGGTATGACGAGAACTCATCCGAGAAATATTCGCCACCACCATCAGTGCGGAGGATCTTGAGTTTAGACCCCATCTGGCGTTCCGCTTCGGCAAGGTACTCTTTGAATCTGTCGAGCGCGTCGGACTTCTTCTTCATCGGGTAAACGGTAAGATAGCGGCTGAAGTCGTCAACGAAGGTGATGAAATACTTAAAGCCTTCTCGCGTTACAGTTTTGGTCTCGCATACGTCGGAGAAAACTCTGCCAAGGACTTGATCGGCGCGAGTATGAGTTTCGGAGGGGATAGGATTACGATGGTGTGAGGACGCCTCGCATTCTGCGCAATATTTTGGTTCGTCCTGCGTTTCACTCCCAATCAGATCCATACCCTTTACCATCCCGCTTCTGATCATTTTGAGGATAGATTCCTTCGAGATATGACCAAGGCGTTTATGCCACACATCCAATGATGCGCTGGCGGTAATCGAT